GCCTAATCTGTGGGATCTAATCGGTCTATTGGAGGTAATTGGCAGCAGGCGGTCTTTGATTAGCACTTTGTTCAGGGAAAATTAAAATGGAAGGTAGGAGTGAGTAAAGCATCTCTAAAAACTTTTTTCCTATTCCACCCTATAAGAAAGAAAGCGGTGGTGGTTAGATTATCAGCAATCTAGCAGATAAAAATGAGACCATCTTCAAAAATGATGCTACTTGTTCAAATAAGTCATTCTGAATAAACTGGTCCCAGTTCTTTAATAATTTGGTATGATATATGGCTTTTTTATGTATAGTCTTTATAGCACTTAAAGGGATATGAAAAATGCATACTTTTCAGTAATAAAAATATATCTTTGAGAATAATTCAGAAACTCAAAATAATTCTTCATTCTAAACAATGATCCTTATTCTTTTGATTCTTTGAAAGCGTTACTTAAATAGCAGTTCGCTTATTTATTATTTAACCAACTAAATGCATTTCAAACTTCAGTAAAAATATTATAAAGTTAAAAAGCTATATATTTCGTAAAGAGTTATGGTTATTAATTATGAAATTCATCCCTTTGGAAACAGGTTTGCAAGAATACTGGAATGAAAACTATTTTGAATTTTAAAAGTTGTTTTTAAAAATGTATTAAAAAGTGCATATAAATATTTGGTATATATTGAAAACTAAATAATTAAAAACAATGCAGGTTATTAGCATGCTAGTTTGTTCTTCTGTATGCATTTTTCGTTACCAATATCTTTATTATAAACACTGGACAGTATTAAATGATGCAATTATATTAATTGGTTTTATAGTTCACTTTCACAATCTTCTCATTTCAAATTCAAGTTTATTTCAAAATTGGAAGTTTCATATTTATTGTGTGCTGTGGCATAGGCCTAATGAACTTTTTTGAATCCTAGCAATTATTTTCACAAGATTTTTTGAGAGTTACTAAATTTCAAAAATACCAACAACAGTGGGTTGATATTTCATTTATTTTTCAAACACTTAGCTGTTGGGTATTATATGCCATTCTTTAGATTTTGTTGTTTTTCCCATTTGATTTTTAGTATTAATTAAATGTGCAAGAATTTATAAGCAAAATTTTAAAAACACAGCAAGTTTTAACAAATTATCTAACAATTACTGAAAACAAAATTAAAACCATAATTTTTATTTCTATGGCATGCATCTAAATATGCATCTAAATATACAGCCAAGAGAGGCGTGGTTATGAAGTTTAAAATGACTCAGCTTTATGCTTTATTCTCTGCTCAGCACACTGAAGATGCTATTTAAATTGCACAAATGATGAATTATATTTAAACCAGAGATTGTGAAATAGCAGAAATTGACTTTTGTTCTGGAATATTAGCTTTACTTGCTACAAAGCATCAATGATGAGATAAATAATATTTTAGTAAGTCTTATATTATATGGTAAAACATCATAGAATCATCCAAATAAAAAGAATTTATTGTGAATTTCAAGGTTACCTATTAAACGGCAACACAATTTAATGAACTTGGTGAAAATCCAATTCATTTTTAAACATACTACGTTAGCCTATATTAGCCTATTAAAATTGTGACTACATAAATCTTAAAACTGCCTTAATACTTTCTTTCTGAAGTGCAAATCTGATCAATTACGCCCTTAAAAATGCTGTCACTCACTTTATAATGATGACTCCGTCTATAAGGAATCTGGAACGTTTCATATGACTGGAAAGCACAGCTTCCCCATTATGTTTGAAGGAGGCTTTTGGGCAGTTTCAGTGAAGTATTTGCCATGTGTGGAGAGAATAGTGCAAAGGGCATATACAGTACTTTTACTCATGTTTGTTCAATTTGGGAACATAACTGGCAATTTGGGAATGCTACAGATGGCTCTGACATTTGTCTTCATATTCACGGTTCACCGACAAATGCACGCTTGACAAAAGCGCGCCGACAAAACCGCGAGGTCGAAATCGTGCCCACAGAAGCGCGCCGACAAAAGCGCACTGTCAACAAACAATGCGAAAACAACGTAATAACCCTAACCCTAACCTTAACCCTAATCGCGCTTTTGTCGGCGCGCTTCTGTGGGCACGATTTCAACCTCGCGGTTTTGTCGGCGCGGTTTTGTCGAGCATGCATTTGTCGGTGAACCGTGAATATGAAGACAACTGCCAGAGCCATCTGTAGCATTCCCAAATTGCCAGTTATGTTCCCAAATTGAACAAACATGAGTAAAAGTACTGTATATGCCCTCTCCACATATGGCAAATAACCTCACTGAAACTGCCCAAAGGCCTCCTTCAAACATAATGGGGAAGCTGTGCTTTCCAGTCATATGAAACGTTCCAGATTCCTTATAGACGGAGTCATCATTATAAAGTGAGTGACAGCATTTTTACTCATGTTTGTTCAATTTGGGAACATAA